AAGAAGAACAAAAAATATAGCGAAAAATGCAACAAAAATGGTACAAACATGGTGCGCCGCGGGATGGCCGGAGTGGGGGTGGTTTGCCGCGGCAAATCAGGCCCTCCCCGAGATGACCGGCTGATTTCGCCACTGAGTGTAATATGATAAGAAATGTTTAATCATTAACTTTTCTTGTAAAATATGCCTCAATCATGAAAGACAATCTCAAGGTTGTTCTTGTAGGCTGAGTATTCATTAGTCGGTTGAAAGACATGAACAACTTTTAGCTTGATCATTGGCATGTTAGTCCTTATTACTTGTTTGATGTTATCCCAGGCTTTTGCCATTTTTCTGCTTCAATGCTTTACGTCCAAATGGGAGTAAGATTTTTTTGCGATATGTGATGCACTATCATTCTATAATTTTATAGGCATGGGATAAAATAGTTAATAAACATTAGATTAATTTAAAATATGAATTTTAATAAATTGAAACTCTTGTATGATGATAAGATAAGTGTAATTTAGTTAAGAAGATGAGATATTTCGTTGTCAGTATATATCTTAACTAATTCATACCATGCAAATTATCTACTACGAGCAATGTTAAAGAATGAGATGTCAATATATTATTGTTCAATATTATCTCTTACGTAAATTATGAATTCAGTTTGTGATTTTGCATTAATAAAGAACTAACCCATGCGATTTTAAATCATCACTTATCCACATATTATTGTTCCTATATTATCTCTAGACCATTAATAATTATCTCTAAACCATTAATAATTATCTCTGAACCATTAAATCTTAATTTAATAATTAAACTACAACGTGCAATTTTAACTTTTCGGTTATCCATATATTCTTGATCCATTATTATCTCCACACAATTAATTATGAATTCAGTTTCTGTTTTTGCATGAATAGAGGACTACCACGTGCGATTTTAAGTAATAAATTATCTGCAAATTAGAGATTAATATATAAATTATTATAATATAGATTTAGGCAAAATTTATTCAACCATTTTATAAAAATGTTGTTTGATAATGAGTGAAATTGTGGCTTATCCACAAATGTGGAATTGAGGCTTATCTACAAATTATTGTTTGTTAGGATAGAATTGTGGCGTTAATATTTATCCTTTTATCGTTAATATCTGCATTTATTATTATATAACACAAATTAATTAATATAAATATTATAATCAAACAAATATTTATTAATATAAACTATTAAACGTACTTTCTTCAATTAATATTAATTTCGAAAAATAGGATTCCCATTAATTAATTAATGCTTTTCTTTTCAAATAGGATTCTCATTAATTAAAAACGTGCACTATCTCTTTAATGTGACTTATCCATATATTCTAATTATACCTCTAATTAATTAATTTGCATTATCTCTTTAAAGTGACTTATCCACATGTGATTTTAATCATCTTACTTAAATTAGAAAGTCAATATTTTATTTTTTAGTCAAACTTATATAAATGTATTTTCCAACAACCTTTTTATATAGATATAGATATAGATATAGATATAGATATGCTAATTGAATTGGCAAATTGTGTGATCCCAAATATTTGTCTATTTTATTTGATCATAGATATAATTATAAACTTAAATCTAAATAAATTGAATCCATAAAGTTATTAGTTCAATAATTTAGTGGTTGGTCTAGTAGTTGAATTGGTTTGACCGATGTTTAATTTAATAAAATTTTTAAATATATAATAATTATATGTATATATCTATTATTAATTAAATATTAAGATAATTTAAAAGATTAATAAATGTTTATAGCAATTGATAAATAATTTATACATATACATTATATAATTTTTTATGTATGTAAGAGTATTTAAAATATATTAAAACTTATTAAAAAATGGTTAATTGCATTTAAAATGCTAACCTTTTGTGTAATTGCAAATAAAACTCAACTTTTTAAATTTGGCAAAAACATACCAAACTTTTAATAAGCATTGCAATTGTATCTCAAAATCAGTTTCGAATCATACCAAACCTTAAAAAAGATGACCGAACAAGTCGTCGCCGGGAAAAGTCACCGGTTCCGGCGAAGTTGGACGTCACTAGATGCGGCTTTGCGAGAGGAGTTCAACGGTACCTTCAGATTCACATGGGTCAAAGCGAGTCACTGGGAATTTGCAAAAGAACGCCATAGAAAATTTGAAGATCTACGATTTGACTGGAAAATTGGAAGCCTTAGCGTCGGAATTTTTTCGTGAAACTCGAATATGTTGTCAGCACGGAGGAGAGCTACAAGATCATGTAAAAATTTTCAACATCCGACGAAGTTGGCCGGTGGCGGTTGGCGGCGGCGGTCCGGCGGGTGAAACATAATTGCAATACTTATTAAAGGTTTGATATTTTTTTGTCAAATTGAAAAAATTGAGTTTTATTTGCAATCGCACAAAATGTTAGGATTTTAAATGCAATTAACCCTAAAAAAACTACGACTAACCTGTTTTGACTGGGTCGACCGGTTGCTGACACGTTCTTGATGGGTTCGCTAATAATCAGACCAGTCAATAGACCGGTTTTCTGTCCAATATATCGGACCGAAAGGTCCGACCTGATTTTGAAAACAATATTGTGGCATTTGTTTTTGTAATCGAATCTTATAATCGTATCATGTAGTAGCCGTATTTCGTATCATATCAATCATTAATACTCGATTAATAGTGCTCCCCTATGTCAAAATAATCGATGTTATAGGGAAAAAAAAATGCACTCTTCAGTATATCTTTCTACATCATATATTTAAAATAATAACATTTTAAGACAAATTAAAATTACGAGATTTTTTTAATAAAAAAAAATTATGATGAATCGACTCGTCTAATGATTATGTCGTCTCACAAAATATATTGTGTTATACAAAATGGATATGAGTTATAATCGATAACCGGTTGAATTATTTTAACTGAAAGCCGATAAGGCATTAGGGCCCTTCTAGTTAGCCCCCCGTGGGAAGAATGCTTGGAGTTTCTGTCAGATGAGCATCTAATAATCTGACTCAAAATTCATATTGACCCATTATATCCGGTTGAATTATTTATATCTAATCATCTCACTCAAAATTCAACTCAACATTACTCTTCTAATTTTTTTAAAATCCCTCTATATATAATTCCCGAATGCACTGAGCCTACGTGGCTGCTTCTGGTGCTTCAGAATCTTACTTGGCGAAGAATCATGCTTCGTAATTAGGTTTGGACAAATAATATTGACATATTAATAATTAATATCTTGGTTCGGACATTCTATAAATATTATTTAGCTAACTTAGGTATTTTAATATCACTTGTACTAATATAACCCTTTAATTCTTTGTAATTTTATATAGTGAGGCACTGAGTTACTAATATATCCCTGACTTTTGATTTGTTTCCTTCAATTAGCTATTGAATTATATATGTATTTTTAAAGTTAATAAGTTTTGTATTTCTTATCGGTTTTACATATATAATATATCAAATTAATTATCTTTTCATGATCTTCGATTTGACATCCATATTGTAAGTATAAAATAAATAAATTATATTTATCTTTATAATAATAAAAAATAATAATATTTATTAAAATTTATTAGAAAAATAAAATTATTTATCAGTTGATATATTTATGTTTAATGTAGTTATATGTTGTAAGTTAAAAAACTTATTATAATATAACACAAGTAAGTCACACAAATAAAAAATGTCATACTAAATATATAATAATATATATAGATATATATTTTAATAAAAGATATTCAAATTTTCAACTATTTTTTCTCAATAATTTTAGATTTTAAGAAAAAAATTAGCAAGCACCCGTGTAATACACGGGCGTTGTACTAGTATATAAATATAATTAAATAATATCAATCAACCATTAACCCTTACGCATCAAATTATTTTTAATTTACTTTTCATTCAGTCACATCTTTCACTCACTTTTACACCTCATCAACTTTAATCATTAAATTTTAAATATTATTTAATTCAAGACTCAAAATCATTCATTCAATATGTTCCTTTCATTCATTGAACCAAAAAAAAAAAAAA